TGTTACGAGATCACACCGAGAACAGTGAAAATTATCTCCGTATCTCGAGAGGATAGTGTGGCAGTGCATTTCGCAGTGTCACTTCCTAAGAAGAATTATATCTGACACTGGGAAAAAACATGACGAGGATAGTCGCGAGCCTGATGACAGTATTAGACCCGATCGGTCAAATACACCATTGAAGCGAACAAATTGGGACAGATGGTAACAATTATTGTGAGATTTGAGTACACAAACATACTACTGGCAACCAGTCGAATCCAGCGTGGTGCATCTTGTCAATTTCTTTGCAACGTTAATCCCCTGAAATTCTAAATTCTTTCTTTGATCCTACTTTCAACCTTTCCTGTCTTTCTCCTAATGTACATCCGAATGGGTAGCCAAAAGACTGCAACCAAAACCGGCGCACGATAGTCCATGGTTAACGGTTGTACAAACTGAAACTGAACTGAGTGTGGTTAACGGGATAGGAGGAGAAGATTAATTCTGTATGAACGACTTAAAAGGTTCCAATTATAGAAGTCAAATTGGCTCAGCTCAATTGTACCTTGATACGCGTCACTGATTCTCCGTATTCTGATTAGCTTAGCTCACAGACGGGTGACAAACGGCGGAGCTAGAGCCGACTAGATTTAACAGACTTAGGAGTAAAGGTGGAAAGAAGAGGAAAAATGGCATTCAGAAGCCCTCTCGGAATACCCGTTCTTTTAAAAGTTATGAAAAAGATCGGTTAATCATAAGCCTCAATTAGAGCTATGTGAGAGTCGGTTAGTCAAAGCTTTAGGCAACTTACAACGACAAAATTGAGTTATTTCAATCAAATGGGTTGAAAATGGACAGGTAGTATGGAACTTTGATATAAATAGATATATAAATGTTCGAGTCAACCCAACGGCAGTTACATGAAGTCTATCGGGAACAAAACCAACAAACGCTAAATAAGAAAAGAAAGATTTCTGATTCATTTAGAAAGCGAACGAAAATGAGCGAATTCTGCGCTCTACCACGAGTGATTCATCACTTATTGAATTGGTTAGAAATGCGTTAGTAACAGCATTTGTCGTATGACAAGTTTATGGAAAATGATACAGCAACTAAGGTGGTGCGAGTGATCGTGGATGGGGAAGAGATCGGACGGAATGAAACACATGGATTGATTGTAGACAAGTGGGGGAAACGCAGCTAGAAAAACACGTACAGAAAGACCTCGGATATAGATAATACTATCGAGTCCAGGAGATTTAAAAGTGCAAAAATGCAGACCACGTGAAAGTAAATCATCAAATAGACGGTAAATACTAAGTATTCATTCCGACTGAAAAAGAGATTAGTGAAACGTTTAGTGCCATGTGGACCGTCGAATAGGAATGCAGAAGGTTGGTCGTAATATTGGTTTCCCAAAGTTTTCCATCGTAACGATTGGTGTGATGCTACGGCTAATTCAAGGGTTGACTGATTTGCTCATGTAGTTATTGATTGTATGCTCGACACTGACTCCTAGGACAAGCATGCACGCAATCACGTCACGCTGACTTGGAACCCTACAACGAGCGATTCGTTTCAGCCAAATCGACTTTAGAATTCAGCTGAACGCGGTGATCGATTCATTGCCTGACTTACCCTGCTTGACCGTATCTCGGTTGCATGTAACGCTGAGAGTTGGCCTGCCTGCCCTGCTTACGCGCGTAGCCACGGATGTATCAGTCCACTGCTCACTGTAACGACCGCTCATATGTATAAACGGAATTACTCATCTATAGCTTTTTCCAACAATTACGTATTCAACAAGGATGTTAAGCCAGGTTTTAACCAAACATTAAGTTATTTTGCTGTCTATTCAGGATATGGGATACAGAACCATACGTCTGTTACTTTCCTTGTTTTTGACTCAATTAATCCCTTTCAAGTTCGAAAACAATACAGATCTTTTACTGCGGGGAAAACCTGGATGTGATCCGAAAACCCACTGGTTAACTTGCCCAACAATTATCGAAGTGAACGGTGGACAGAAGGTAAAAGGGAGAAAGGGACAACAAGATGAGAAGCCAAGGGGATCAGAGAGAAAAAAAGAAATTAAACAGGTATTAGACATTGCTTCCGAATCTTTATATCACGACACTCTTACTCTTTTTATGCACGATGAGATATTGATAATGATGGTGGTAATCAGATGATAAACGTCAAGTGGATCATGCGTTAGAGTCATTGTGTTACTGCAAACTGAACTCCACTCTAATTCTATCGAACCTCAGTGTGACTTTGTATTTTAAACAAAGGGGAACCTTATCAGAAAGCCTGACACGACCTAGTTGAACGGTGTATTTGGTAAGGAAAGGAAACCTACATACCAAAACGCAATTTAATTACCTTTGACCAGTTTCTGACGAATCCCCATTTAGGTGAACATTCAGTAAGCTTTATAGTGGACGCAAGATTGGGAATGACTTTGAACTCGGAAAAGAATACGCTCCCGGAAGATAAGTTCCTTAAATTGGAGTACCCAAATGATATTTCACTGCTGAGTCCGGATCCTGATATGTTGAAAGTTATTCTGAATGGTTGCAGTGTTAGTCTATCTGTGTTCGGCATATATTCAACACACGTTAAGTGTTACTCGGGTAACTGAATCTATCCTTGCGGGCAGTTCTCAAATGAATCATCCGGATCGCATACAGAACGCCCGATTGGCTTTTGCGAAATCAAGACGCCATTTGCTCCACTGAGATGTTGGGTCAATTGTGAAGGACTGATTATGTGCTGCACCTGTCCCCGCCAAATGATGCAGTGAAAAAGATGAACAAGGATCAACAGTGCACGAAAAGTGAAGTTCTCCTTCGCATTGCACGAGTCACGTAGGCA